ATCAACTTTGGTACTACCCATATTAAGATACAGAAAATGCTTAAACAATGTAGAGGCAGTGCAAAGAATGATGCACCACTCACAGAGAATAAAAGTATCAACTACTGCACACTTACATAGAGTAATAGAATGCGGGAAATATTTTATTTCAAGCACATGTAAACAGTTTAGCAATATCAGAGATCCAGATAACAAGATATCACAAATATAACCCAATCAACAGAATATGCCAATTTCGAATTCAAAAAACTCAAAAGTAATCTTGAAGAAACCATTAATCTCAGTCCCCTTATATTCTAGGGTTCTCAAATGAAACCCTAGACAAAGGAAGATCTGGGAGGGTTTCGAAGATATCCAAGAGAGATAAAGATCGAGAAAAGTACAGGTAACTTAGGATTAGAAACTCGTTACCAATGTCTCGGCTTAGTTGTGTAAAATAGTGAAAACTAGGACTATTTTACTTTCTCTACCAAAGGAAAGGAAGCATACCCTTTAGAAAAGATCTTGAAGATCCAGAGTCAAGAACACCAAGAAAAATTTCAGATCGAAAAATTTTTGGAGATTGAAATGCTCTGATACCACTGTTGGTATTAACATGCCCTAAAAACACAAAGTAAATTGAACACAAATGATTTTTCGCCCTAAGGCACGGATGTTCACCCAAAATAGGGCTAATCACCGGTTGAGCATTCACTGAAGTGATTATCGCTCCAATCCACTAGAAATCAACAATAAATTGAAGCAAGTGTCACAATACAACAGACCCACAAAGGATAAATCCCTTAGCCCAGATTTTCTCTCAAGAAATCACAAACACAATTACACAAACTAACCAACAGTTACTGAACACAATCAGAACAGATTCGCCTAAACCACAACCTTACAAACACTAGATCTCACCAAGAAACACTAGAATTTAGAGATTACTGGCAAAAATCAAAGGTTTTCAGAGAGAGAGAATAGAGAGAGCGAGAAAAGAGAAAACCCGAGAATATTCTCGAATTAGTTCAAATGAAAGGTCGAGCCAATAATACAAACAATCAGATGCATCCAACGATCACAGCCCTTCCACTAGCCTCATCTTAGCATTTGAAATAAATTGAATGGGCTGTCGGGCTGCAGTCAATTGGGCTGGACTCTTCATACTAAATGGGTTCCATCATTGGGCCAAATTGTTTAAAGCATATAACCCAACAGAAACTTTTGTTCCAAGCCCCTGAAAAGTAACCAATAAATATGTACGTTTATCGCACCATCTCTTTAGCAATATTTCCTCTCTTTTCTCACCGTATGCACAAGAAAACCCTAAATTCTCTCTCTATCTCTCTACTTATATATACATTTGATTTGAAGAATAAATCAACGTTTTATCTGCGAAAAGATGGTGGTCATAAAGAAGAAAACACTGGGTAGAAAGAAGATTGAAATGAAGAAAATATAAAAATTGAGCAACCGGTGCGGGACTTTTTCTAAACGCCAGTTGCACTTTTCAAGAAAGAGAGCAAAAATATGTGTTCTGACAGGAATTTCCATTATCGTACAATCGTTACCTGGCAAACACGTCTTTGCTTTGGGCACTCCAGTGTGGATTCCGTAATTGCTCGCTTTGAGAATAGAATTACTTCTGATGATTCTATGAAAAACTACGCCAAAATGCCAGATTTTAAGAGGGATTATTCTGAGGTTTCTGCAAAGTTGGAGGCGGAGAAGAGTCTCCAGCAAGGTGGGGTGAACGATGGTGGTGGGTTTTGGTAGGACATGGAGGTGGAGGACCTTGAACAGACGAACTTGAGATGTTCAAGTCGGCGTTGGAGGAGTTGAAGAATTTGAATATAAAAGCAGAGACTTCTTCTTCGTTAATTCCAGCAGCTCCCGCCTCAAGAATTACAGGTTTCAATCCAAGAACGGAAGCATATGCTAACCTAGAATATGCTTTTGTACAAACTGCAGTTTAACGATGTTAAACTCTGTGATTTCTTTTGATTTGTTGAGATATTTTACCAATATATTTCGTATTCTTGTTTCAACTCTAATAGTAGTTAATCGGAGTTATTAATTTTCTATTGATTATAATGGAATGTTACAGAAATCCAAGGATTATAGCGATTTGCAACATCTTAAAGCCATGATTACAATTTTTTTTGACCATATAAACAATCGGTTAACAATGTTAAATTGTTTCATGAATACACAGCCCTTCCCCCAAGACACTTTTTAAGTTGGAAAAATTAATACGGATGATATTTTAGTAGGTAAATTAACGTCCCAAATGGTCGTAAGCCCCTGAAGATCGATTTACGAGCCAAACTTGTCATTGGGACACTTCTTGGGGACCCTAGGAGCCCCATTCTCGTAGCTGCAGGATACTAAGGAGCGTCTGTTGTTGCATCCGAGTTGATTGAAATTTCTATTCCTGTTGAAATATTAAACTATATGGCCTTTCAAAGCTCTGTTGGAGCCTAATAACTTCTGTTGCTGTTCTGGTGGCATGGTACTTAACTCCCCTATGTTAGACTCGGCACTTCATGTAAGATAGATTCCATCTCGGGGGTGTACCTGAGTCTCAAAAGAACAGAAGAGAACAGATTACCACATACTGTTGTGTCGACCATGACGAAAAGTGGAAAAAATCCCAACCTGAAGGTATAATAGTGTCTCTGTTGGGAATTTACTTAACTTGCATAGAGGAAAATAAACAAGTTTCAATTTCCACCAAGAATTTTCTTTGAGTTTAGAAAGAAATTATACATTTTGTAGATTCTGCAAACTCATTTGCTGATCTTGGAATATGAACAATCACGATCTCTTATCCGCAGTTGTCCAATTATCCAACCTACAATAAAAATCCACACGGTGAACAAAAATGAAAGAATTATGGTTTCTCTTTTCATGAACTAGGAAGAATATGAATTGTGTTATGTTCTAATTTTCTAAAACCCGAATGGCTTATTAATATAAGTTCAAATGGGTCGGGTCCGTCTCTTAAATTTAAACCGGTCTAATATTTAATTAATCCAATTAATTAAATTTGGTCCATGAACTAATTAATCCAATACTTTAATTCGGGTATATTAACAAGCAACTCAAATAATTAATTATATAACAATTGTTAATGAATTAATTTGAATCTCATTCTTTTGCTTCTTCTTTTGTGTGTGGTCCATCAGGTTCCTGATCACGATGTTTGATGAAGTTAATTATTATTTTTGATCTAATTAAAAAATATAAATTAAAATATCCATTTTTAATTTATCATCAATTCACATCGTCCTCCTAGATTGACATCCAGTAATGTGTCAAGGTAATACATGTGACGGAAAATGTCATGTGGTATGGCAAAATCAAACTTATTCTTTTACCATGAAACTATAATCCTTTAATCAATATGATCCAATTAATTGCGAGATATGGATATGTGTCAATCTCAATTATCGATCATATTTTTTGGCTTATGAGTACACATTGACAAAGGATTTTGTTATTAACTTAACTAAATGAAATATAAATCATAATCTCTTACTATTTAAGAGTGACGAATCCTCTATTTATCATTCGCATTCTTCATATAATTCTTGATATACTCGAATGATGTCGTATTAGTGACCCTTGACGGAGTAACATTCAATATCACCAAAGTATGATTATCCTCATACAAGGCATTATGATGGCCTCAAGTCAAATGGCCAATTCTACTGCCGAAAATTAGAGATTAACCACTGATACTCAGGCAATTATCTGAATCTCCCCATCGGGTCTCCAGTGTTTTGTTTTATAACAAAACATTCACGCATTCATTTAAGTGCCACTGCACTTTAACTTATGATATCGGTTACTTACTTCACAAGTAAAAAATGTCACGCATGATGGTCTATCCATAATAACGATATCCGTATCTCGTTATTAGTTACGACCACGGATGATTTAAGATTCAATCATATGTAATTTGTATCACATAATCACAACTCATTGTAATTAACAACTTACAAAGATTTGAATCTGCGAATTCTTTTATTTAATTTATTATAATATGAATTCAATTAAGTAATAGATCTTGCTATAAATATGCATCAATTATATATTAAATGTGTTTATGTCCAAAGATAATTGGATATAAGGCATAACTTTTACAATCTACACTAATTGGCAGAATCCTTCTACTCATTAGGAGCAAATCACTAATTTGTTTCAACATCACCAATATCTTAAAAACCATCAAGAGATAGTTATAAAACATGGCCAGTAATTTTCATAAGATTTACACTCGCGTATAACATAGCATAAATGGGGGACATAAAATCAAATCTTTTATTCGAGGAATAAAATTTACACTCACATTTGACAATAGTCTTGATCTTGCACAGGAAAGAATGTCTAGTGGATCAATTTTTTTTTCACATTTTTCAGTGACTTGTTAATATTAATCCCCAAGAATAAATTGAATCAGAGTATGTCTCAAGAAAATGTGTAAACAGCAGAAAACTACTCCCTCTAAAGTCGTTTAAATAAAAATTAAAATTTTATAAAAAATAATGAAATATTTGGCCGTAAAATTGATAAAAATTGTGAGTCTATGAAATGTGTGGTGGTATATGAGTTTGAAAAAAAAAGTGATTAATTTAAGTAAGCTAGAATTTTGTATTTCCTTTGCACAAAAGTAGTCTTCACTAATAGTGGGACTTGGAAGAATGAAAATAAAAGAAATATATCAATAAATAATATGACTGAAACTAAAATAATGAGGGAAAAAGTGAAAGAATTGGAAAACTTGAGAAACTTACACACGTGTGGCTTGAACTTACACGTAGTACAGCAGGAAATAGAGATTTGCACGTGTGTCCCTATTTCATTTCCCTTTAATTTGTCAACTTCTCTTTTTGAAATAAAAGCTAACATCAAACATGTGCAGAAAATTAGCAACGTAATCTCAACTTTCTCTGTAAAAATAAACAGTAGACTGATAAATATTTCTTGTACGTAAAGATCTAAAGAGAGAGAAAAAGATGGCTGAAGATCAATTCTATGCCATGAATGAAGGAGATGGTTGAAGATCAACATTAAAGCCTTCCTTCACTTTGCTCATTCATCTTGTGCTCTTACCTGGCTTTCTGAGATTCCGAAAGAAGTGTTGGATCCCTTGTCTCCTGCATGGAATAAAGTGAGAATTTCGTATTATGGATAGAAAAATGAAGTTTTCAATGCTTTTCAGTTCAATTTGCGAATGATTTGCACTCATTCTTGAAAGCAAGGGCAGAAGGGTTGGTTGATGGAGGGCTACTGGCTTTTATCCATGGTGTTGATCCCAACGGTAATAAGGACACCTCTAAAATTACATTACTGTCTTTCGAACTTTTGGGATCTTGTCTTGTGGACTTGGCTAAGAAGGTAAACACTGACATTCATTTATTTTTGAATTGCCTTAATTTGCCTAGCCAATATAACAAATAATGTTGCAGGGACCATTTGATATATCCCAAGTAGACTCGTTCAACTTGCCTAAGTATTTTCCCTTTCATGATGAATTGAAAGCTTTAGTAGAAAGAAATCAAGATTTCAGTCTCGAAAGGATGGAGATACTTGACAATCCACCAAAGCGTCTCACTAATCCCGATCCCAAATCATTTGCCACGTTCATGCGAGTATTGATTGAGGGACTTCTGCAAAATCATTTTGGAAGCGAAATCATGGATGAATTATTCAAGAGACACGGAGAAAAAGTTGAAGAGTCTGGACTTCTATCGGATCCTAATGAAAATTCTCTGATGGCACTTGTCCTCCTCAAGTGCAAAAGGATGACTATATGACTCGATCTTATAGAGACAATGAAGTCGCCCTTTAATTTAGGTCTTTTCCTTTTTAATTTATTTATTTCGGACATCTCCACCGCACCGTCTTTCTTCGTTCAGTACTAATATGTTGTGCTTGGTTGAATGGTGTAATAAATGCTTTCAATTATTTCTTGACCTGTTAAAAAGATAAAATTTTACATGTACTGCCTTGAGCTACTTTTTTAACAGGGCTGATCTTTAAAGTTGCAAATTAAGGGTGTTTTTGAGCCACATTATTTTGGAATAGTAGATCGATGGAGAATGTGTGGTTGAAAAAGAAGGAAAAGTTATTGATGTGATGGAAAATATTATTTTATTGACAAATGTGTGATTCAAAATAAGTAGATGAATGAGAATGAAAATTTTAATGTGGCTAAACAGGGGCTAAAACTCAAAATACCCAGATAAGCAATTCGACTGATCTAGAAGTTTGGTCAATAAAGCTCATAATATCTGAATTCAATCTAGATGCTTTTAACAGGGTTGATCTTAAGTTGGAAATTAAGGCCCTGTTTGTTTCGGATTAAAGTCAAATTTTAATTTAAGTCAAAGTCAAACAATCAATATTAATCACATCTTTTATGGGTCAGACGACTTTTCAATCACACATTTCATAAATTTCAATCACAATCTACTAAAAATCTAATTTTAATCTCCACTAAATGCCTACTAAGTATCAATAAAGTATTAAAGCTCATAATATCTGAATTCAATCTAGATGCTTAGTCAAACCATCAAACATTAAATTAGGGAAAATTAAAAAAAATCAGGTGTTTAAAATTCACAGTGCAAAGGTTAGGTGCTAAAGTTTTTTAGTCATAATTCAGGTATTAGGTTAATAATTTTATATTTTAATAAATATATTAAAATTAAAATTTAAAACCCTAATTTTTCATTTTTCCCCTTCTCACGTCCCTCTCTCTCGACTCTCTCTTCTTCCTCTCATTGCTCTTGTCTCCCTTCTTCAGCCATCGTCGTCGGAGACCAATACAGTGGCTGTGGAACTCCCTTCAACACCTGTGATCATCGACCGACAGCAGCGGGGCACTTCCTAAGCAGTGATGGCACTCGATGCGATATATTATTCTTCTATTTCGTCTTTTTTATGCGGTTGGGCGTGGTGTTGTATGTGGTGTTGTGGTGGTTGGGTGCAACTGTGGTGTTGGTGCTGTTATTATGGTGGTGTTTTGGTGTTGTTAGGGGGTTTTAGGTGATTTTTATTGGTTGTACAGTTAGTTGTGTTGGTGGCTACGGCGGATCTGGCGGTGGTCGTGGTCCTGGTGGTTATGATGGTTTCTGCCAGTGGTTGTGTCGATGGTGGAGACGATTATGTTGGTGAGGTTGTGGGTTGGATATTTTTGTAGATGGTGGCGTTCACAAAGGTGGTGGTCGTGCGGGAGACGGTGGCGCCGTACGACGATTTGTTTTGTTGGATCGACTGGAATCTGGTGGGATCTGAGGTGTTTTGTGTGGTGGAGTCTATGGTGGTGGATCGATGGTTAGGGTGGTGGCCGTGCTTTGTTTGGTGGCTGTAGGTGGTGGTGGTGGCGGCGGCTGAAGTAGTGTCAATGGTATGGAACCAAGTATTTGGTTATCTGCGACCAAGTATTTAACTGTGGCCTAAAAATTTGACAATATGTGACTAAAAAAAATATGTGGCCAACAAATTTGAAAATATGTGACCAATGAAATTAAGTGTGACCTATAAATTTTTGAATTTGTGACCTCGAAATCATCTGTGGCTAATTAATTTGATAATGTGTGACTAATATATAAATTGTGACCTATAATTATGTGTCTGTGATCATTAATTGTATAATTGTGACCTAATTAATAAATATTTTTAATTAATTACCTAATACCTAAGTTTTGAATTGTTAAACTATCTACCAGACTTTTGAATTGGTGTAAATCATACACCTGAATTATGAATTCGTCCCTTAAATTAGTGAATTCGAATAAATTATCATCTCGGAGGAGAATATCAAGGGTAAATGTCATACCAATATTTTAAATATAGCTACATTATTCTAAATCATTATGGTTATTAGAACTGTTTTAAAAATGATAAAATTAACTCAATTCTTACTTTTCAAATTTCAATTTCATAAATCAGGTATTAATTATTATCTTTCAAACCCACCCTACGCACCCCACCTGTCTCCTACTCCATTTCTTCCCCAAAATCATATCTGTATACAGAGACAAAATTCGACGCATGTCCCATACAATGGCAATCCTCCTCTGCCACCTCTCCCGTCGGTGGCACAGTTCCAATTCCTCAACTATCAAAATAGTAGTGGTCGTAAATCCTAACAACCCAAAGGGAGTAGTGGTGCAGGTGGTGATACGGGAGGAGGTTGTGATGTTGAGATTAGTGATGTCATCATCATCGCTTTTGTTCTTGGAAGTAGAGATGAGGGAAGAGTACTGAAGAGTCAGAGTGATCAAAGAAAGATATAACAAGAGGAGTGATGATAGCGAAGGCACTGCAGTGGCACGTTGGTCCGAGATTATAGATCTAGAGGTGTCGTAACAGAAGGGATGGGGTAGGTGCGATGGGCGCAGCAGTGCGTGAAGATTCGGTGGCTATAGATCTGGAGGTGGTGTGATAGAAATGATGGGATACGGTGAGAAGAATCTGTCTAGAAGTGTGTGTAATCAGTTAATTGTGTGATTTGTGATTCAATATGTGATTGGGACCATAAATTGCAATGGTAATCTTGCGTGATTTGCAACTTAGTATGTGATTGTGTCCTGTAAATTGTGTGGCAAGTGAATGTGACCTATTCAATTATAACTCATAAGTCAAAACATTTATCAAAGGTCACAGTGTGACCACCTAATATATATATATATATTTTTTTTTAGCTTTGAAATTGTATTCTTGAACTATTGTAACTATGAAATTTCCTCTCTAAAATTTGACGAAGCTACCACAACTAAAACAAAATCCAATTTGGTTTGCATGGGTTGGGATAATGTCAATATGTCTCGCGAGTGGAGCGAATTATAATGAAGAATGATAAATTCATAATTTGGCAAAATGGGATGTATGGGGATATTACCAATTACTTGTTGACTCCGTCATCAGTTGGGACATGATTCCAATTTTGGAGAGGGAAGGGGACAATAAACTAGGTAAAAATTACAACTCGTCTAAAGATGCAAAAAGAAGGTAAAAATACGAAGACAATTAAAGAAATGTATAGAAATATGAAACCAAAACTCGTAGAAAGGTGTTGATTGATCACATTACAGAGGTGGGGAAATTTCACCACATCAAGCAATTAGAGAATTCTCAAAGGTACCACAACCCCTTGCAACAAATAATGAAAGCCTAAGTTCAAGAAGAAATTCTTAACAACATAAACAATTGCCCCCATGAACCTGATATGGATAAAAAGGAATTAGAAAATTCAACTCCTAAGCCAGCCATATCGAATTATTCTTTTTTTTCTTTTTTTCTTTCTTTTTTAAACTCATTTTTTTCCTGAAATTCATTTTCAACTACACATTTCATAGGATTCACAAGTTTTATCAAATTTTCAAATACAAATTCATCGACTTTTATTAAAATTTATTAAAAATCTTATTTCTAGCTAAACCAAACACGAACTTAG